GCCAATAATCAGGATTCCCGCGCGCGGCCAAGGGGTCCCACGTGCGCCTAAACCTTGGGAAGCAACGGTTACTGAAAAGTAAACATGTATGCCGTTCCCACGGCTTCTCCTAATTAAAGACAAAGCAGGGCTCCTCTGCTCTCCTCCTGCGGCCTTGGGGAGATAGCGTTACAGAAAAGCAGGACTTGTGTACACTGAAAGGAATGCAGAGCTGAGAAGAGAAGGGGCGCATGAAAAGTCAAGCGCCTCGATGGAGTGGGGGTGGAACCATGGATGACCATATACACATCAGATCAATAGAAACAAACATTTGGCAGCTTGCTGACACCCAGGCTAGCCCAATCTCATCAGTTCTCAGAAGCTAAGCAGGGTTGACCTTTCTTAGTACTTGGACGGGAGACCACCCGGGAAGTCCAGGTTTGCTATGCAGAGGCAGGCAATAGCAAACCACCTCTGTTCCTCTGCCCTAAGCTTGATGGCCCAGGATAGCCCAGTCTTGTCAGTTCTTGGAAGCTAAGCAGGGTTGGCCTTGCTTAGTACTTGAATGGGAGACCACCAAGGAAGTCCAGGGTTGCTATGCAGAGGCAGGCAATAGCAAACCACCTCTGTTCCTCTGCCTTAACCTTGATGGCCCAGGATAGCCCAGTCTTATCAGTTCTCGGAAGCTAAGCAGGGTTGACCTTGCTTAGTACTTGAATGGGAGACCACCAAGGAAGTCCAGGGTTGCTATGCAGAGGCAGGCAGTGACAAACCACCTCTGTTCCTCTGCCTTAACCTTGATGGCCCAGGATAGCCCAGTCTTATCAGTTCTCGGAAGCTAAGCAGGGTTGACCTTGCTTAGTACTTGAATGGGAGGCCACCAAGGAAGTCCATGGTTGCTATGCAGAGGCAGGAAATGACAAACCACCTCTGTTCCTCTGCCCTAACCTTGATGGCCCAGGCTAGCCCAGTCTCATTAGTTCTTGGAAGCTAAGCATGGTTGGCCTTGCTTAGTACTTGGATGGGAGACCACCTGGGAAGCCCAGGGTTGCTATGCAGAGGCAGGCCATGGCATACCACCTCTGTTCCTCTGCCCTGATGGCCCAGGCTAGCCCAATCTCATCTCGGAAGCTAAAGGTTGGCCTTGCTTAGTACTTGGATGGGAGACCACCAAGGAAGTGCAGGGTTGCTACGCCGAGGCAGGCAATGGCAACCCACCTTTGAGATTTCTTGACTTGGAAACCATAGGGGTCTCCGTAAGTCTGCTGCAACTTGACAGACTTTCCACCATCAATTATTGCAGTGCAGTGATTATGCAGTTATTTCATTCATTCTGTGTTTGGCAATCATGTAAAGATCGGTAAATAATGGCACGGTGAGGATCCAATCTTCCTAATTTATATTTAATTGTAGATATATTTTTTTTAAAAATCCCTCTCACTTTTAATAATAATTCCCGAACATAAATACACTTATATTTAGAGAGAAGAAGGCTGGGGAAAAAAATTGGGAAATTAATTGGGAAAACACCGGTGAAAGTGCGGCTAATTAGAGCCGCACCAAAATAGAGACGCTGCAGGCGGGATCCCACGATCAGATGCCGGGGAGGAAGAGACGAGTGGGAGGGGGAGGCTGCCAAACTGTGCATGCTTGAGCATGCGCACATCGGCCGGGGGCCGGGGATGTGGCGGCGCAAGGACGCACCGCCGATCCCACGGCCGCACTTGCGGCGGCCCTTTCGATTGAACCACCCGGTTAGGTGATTCTTTTTTGGTGCGCTTTTTCGGCAGAAGGGACGGATGGGGGACGGGCGCAGCATGATTCCCAGATGTTGCGGTGGGATCGCGCCCGTTTGCTGCGGCCCCGATCCGTCCCTCTCCTGGCCCAAAACCCCTCGTGTGGACAGGGCCTTAGATAATATAATTTTAAATGAGTTTATAAACCAAGATTTTCTGGGCATTCCAGGCCTCTGAATGTTGAACATTGACCAAAACATTTTTTCAAAAGGTGAAACATTTTATTTGGCCCACGGTTCCCTGCCTGGATTGCCAACGGCTTTCGAGTCTGCTATTTTTGCAAGGTATCATGTGAACCAGGCTGAATTCTGAAACTTTCTAGATTCACAAGAAAGGGGGGGGGGAGAGAGAAACCAATTCAAATTGCCAAAGGCTACCCTGATTAATAAATACTATTAACCTGTTCATTCACACCTCTTTTTCATACTCCATCTCTCTGGAAACATTTGAGGTTGCATTTAGTAGAATAATTACAAGTAGTCCAACACCTAACCCTCTATAACTACAAAACAATGAACAAAATTTGAATTCAGTGGCACCTCTAAGAGCAACAAAGTTTTATTCAAGGTATGAGCTTTTGTGTGCATGCAAAATCTACTGCTTCAGACCAACACAGCTACTCACCTGGATCTACAAAACGATGCAAGAGTAGTAACACAAAACCAAGCAAGGAGGAGGAGCTGTGTCCCAAAAAAACTCACTCGGAAACGTTTCTGGTGATTCCTAAAGCTACCCAAAGTAAGATCACAATACATGCAACAATGTGTATCACCCCCTGCCCCTGCCCCTCCAAGCTTCCACCAGACCACAAGTCACATCCTGGCAACCAGTAACTTCTACCATAGAGTTCTGCCCACAAACCAGAGTTCTGCTCCCCAATGTCCCTGACATGTATCTCCCCCCATGTCACACCCCTAATGTAGCCAATCCTCCAAGAGCTTACAGTAGCCCCTGTAAGAAGAGCACTGTAAGCTCTTGGAGGATTGGCTACATTAGGGGTGTGTCGCCTAACATGCAAAGGAGTTCCTGCTACAAAAAGAGCCCTGATTAGGCATGTTGTGTGTATTTCTGGCTTCTTGCTTGTTTTTGGGGGGGTAATTCCCACCGCCACCTAGCTGGCTGCTGGCGAAGAGGAACACCCCAAATCAGGGGATGCCTGCCCACACTGGGGAGGGGGGGTGTCCTGGCATCACTACACTCAGCCCAGAACCTTGGTGTCACAGTATAGTCGCAGCTCTGGACTGGTAAATGCCTGGAGAGGTATTCTCTCAATAGGGTCAACCTAGCCTCAACTCTAAACCCAGAAATAAAGACAACGGAAGCATTAGAGATTTGTGGTGAACCTGAGGCATGCTCTACAGTACAAGAAGATGCAAGATCAGTAAGCAAAAGCTCCCTCAGGAAAATAATATTTCTGCTGAGCGCAAAACAACATCAGTGCAACAAATGAAGGGAATTCAGAAAATATGCAGTCCACCTCCACCACGGGCCCGTAGCCAGAATTTTTTTTGGGGGTAAAGAGGGAGCAGTAACTGCCGGAGGGGGAGCGGGAGGAAGCGGGAAACCCAGCAGGGGAGGGGAGAATGGGGGAGGGAGGGGGAGATACACATCTAGGCAATCCATCTCCCACAAGGGTTTCCCTACTGAAGCCTGCCTGGCTCCTGAGGAAGTGGGAGGTGCCGACACGGCGCAATAGCATGAGAGAGCCAGAGAGAGAGAGATAGAGAGAGTGGTATGCTCTTGCCTCTTACCTGGTCGGTCCTCCAGGAACTGCTGTGGCAGGTGCCTCCTCTTCCTGGCTGGGTGTGCCCAGGGCTCCCTTATTGGTGGCCACCGCCACCTCTTCTCGCTGCTTGCTCCAGCTGCTTGGACCGCCCTCGTGGATGTGCGCTGGCCACCTTACGGGGGAGCATGCCTGGCCACCCATGGCAGCCAGTCCTGGGCACAGCCCAGCCTACATGGCCACCCTGTTGACCCGACTCCTCCTTAGGCACTTGGGCAGGGGGTGGCCGCTTGGCCAGCAGTGAGCCAGGAGGGAAGCCGGAGCAGGAGCCGGGGAGCAGGAGGGGAGGGAGAGGCATTGTCTCAATGGGCCTTCCAGCTTCCGCAGCTGAAGTCAGCTGCGGAAGCAGTAAGGCCCGATGAGTCTGCACCTCTCCCTCCCTCCTCTCCCCTTTCCTCCTGCTCAGCCTCGGCCCTCCTGCTCAGCCTCGACCAACCACACAGCAGCAGGGGCAGAGGTGGAGCAGAGGCCAACGCTGCCAATGAGGGGGAAGCTGCAGGAGGGTCTGGCATGATCCGTGAGAGGGCAGGGCACATCTGTGGGGGGCACTGCCCCTGCCAGCCCCCTCCCCATGGCTACGGGCCTGCTCTGCCAGTAGGGTTGCCAATTCTGGGTTGGGAAATTCCTACAGTATTTGGGGGTGGGGCCTAGGGAGGAGATGGACTTCTGTGGAGGATAATGCCATAGAGTCCACTCTCCAAAGCAGCTATTTTCTCCAGGGGAACTGATCTCTGTAGTCTGGAGACGAGCAGTAATTCCAGAAAGTCTCCAGGACTTGCTTGGAAAGTTGGTAAACAGTACAGGGGTTGCAGTATACAGAATCAACAAAAACAGAAATACTGCAAGTGTGCATAAATATATTCTTAAATATTTTTCAGTCTTATGAACATACAAAAATACAATCTTTATCTCTCAAGCATAACACTAATACAATGATTTCATGTTGTTACAGATGATAAGATGATGAGATGATAAGATGATGGGCGAAATTCTCCGGAATACCTTCCGTTTCGTTTCATGAAAACTTCTTCCACATCAATACGATAAGCCGTCTTCATCAATTCATAGAAATTCCATAAGGGTTCAGTGGTTTTCACAGAAGGGAAATATTCATTCTCTTCAGAGTGTGAACAGCCCGTTGTATTATACTCTGAAGAAATCATTGTATTAGTGTTATGCTTGAGAGATAAAGATTGTATTTTTGTATGCTCATAAGATTGAAAAATATTTCAGAATATATTTATGCACACTTGCAGTATTTCTGTTTTTGTTGATTCTTGCTTGGAAAGTTGGCGACCCTAACCTCCGGGCTGAGGAGGACTGGTAGAGGAACAGCTTCCTCTTATATTTACCATTCTGTGGGTCTTCTTTGGGGAGATCCCGTGCGCTCTCTGAGAACTATGGAACAAAAAAATGGTCATGCGTAAGGGTATTCCCCATACCTCTGAAGCAGCAGGCTTGCAGTAACCGGCGCCAAACACCAGATTTTCAAGGGACATCCCGGTGGGATCTGGGCCTGTTTCCAAGCTGCCTTTCCCAAGCCATGAACCTTTCCCGGGACGAGCAAAGCTAGACAGCGAAAGGGTAACAAAGGGAACAAAGTCAGAAGCATCAGCGATACAGTGTATTCCAAAGCCCTCGTCCTCCATCACTCCCCTTGTGACCTAAGTAGAAGAAGAAAAACAGATTGGATTTATACCCCTCCCTTCACTACCCAAAGGAGTCTCAGAGCAGTTTACAATCTCCTTTCCCTTCCCCTTCCCCTCTCCACAACAGGCACCCTGTGAGGTAGGTGGGGCTGAGAGAGATCTTTCGAGGACTGCTCCTGGGAGAATAGCTCTGAAAGAATTTGGGACTGGCCCAACACCAGCAGCTGTATGTGGAGGAGTGGGGAGTCCGTGCTCTTAACCACTACACCACTGCACCAAACTGGCAAGTTACGTTTATGGCTCATCACATTTTGCTGTTTTATAATTGCAACAGAAGAAGAAGAAGAAGAAGAAGAGGAGGAGGAGGAGGAGGAGGAGAAGGAGGAGGAGGAGGAGGAGGAGATTGGATTTATACCCCGCCCTTCACTTGGAGTCTCAGAGCAGCGTACAAACTCCTTTCCCTTCCCCTCCCCACAACAGACACCCTGTGAGGTGGGTGGGGCTGAGAGAACTCTGACACAAACTGCTCTTTTTCAAGGACAGCTGTGCCAGAACTAGGGCTTGCCCAAGGTCATCCAGCCAGGTGTGAGTGGAGGAGTGGGGAATCAAACCCAGTTCTCCCAGATTAGAGTCCACGCACTTAACCACTACACCAAACTGGCTCCCACTCTACCAATGAACACTCTACCAAAGCTCCATCAAGTCAAGTGGTTTTCAAGTAATATTCTAGGCTTCCTGGTAGGCTAGTTAGGCATTTCCTTCGGCAAGAAGGGCTGCTAATGGCAGGCACACTTCCTCGAAAGATAGCTTGTTGACCATTCTCAAGGATTCACAAGGATACTCGCTGGGCGTTCAGACCATAATGAATCGAAAAGCAAACTAATGTTGTAATGAATCTGAAACAGAAGGTTAATCACCATCAGTAATGTTAGATCTGTCTATTACTCTGGCTCCTGGTTGTCTGGCAAAGAGTTCACGGAGGTCAGACACAGAGGAGAGAGCAGAGAGGAGAGTGACTGAGTAGCCATGTAACTAGGGTTGCCAACCCCCAGGTCCGGGTGGGGGGTTTCCCCCACCCCCGGTGGGAAAGCCCCACCCCAAGAGCAACCACCCGCCTAGCCACCCCTTTCCCTCCCCTCCTGCCAGATTTAAAGGGCTTCAGCTGATTGGCGGCGGGGATCCATGTGGCCCACTGATCGCCTGGAGGGCCCTTTAAATCAAGCAGGAGGAAGGAAGAGGGGCGACTGTGGGCCACACACTCAGCTCGCAAAAAAGAAAAAAAAAACCTTGAAAGGGTCTTTTTGTGAGTGGGGTGGGGGCTGCGGTGCACGGGGCTGGGGGGAATCAACTGAAGCCCTTTAAATCTGGCAGGAGGTGAGGGAGAGGGGAGGCTGGGCGGGTGGTCATGCTTGGGGGTGGGGATTGGGGGCATCCCCACCCAACCCCGGAAGGCCCTTAAATCCCCCCACTGGAGTGAGAAGGGGACCTGGAAACCCTATGTGTAACTGATAGGGACATCTTCCAGTCAGATACACACACACACACACATGTATGTATGTTTGTATGTATGTTTGAATGTATGTATGTATGTATGTATGTATGTATGTATGTATGTATGTATGTATCCAGGGCCGGCTCTTCTATAAGGCAGTGTTAGGCAGCTGCCTGGCGGCACCACATGAGTAGAATGCCTGCACTAGGGTTGCCAAGTCGGGTGTTGCGCCGCAGCGGGGGACTCCCAGCTGGCATCCGGAGTGTGTGCACGTCACCTGGAAGTGACGACGCCAGGCACGCTGGGGGCGGGGCCACAACCATCCGAGGGAAAAACATAGAGTTTTCCCTCGGATGACCGTGGCCCCGCCCCCAGTGTGCCCGGCATGTTCGCGTCACTTGCGGGTGACGCGCACGTTGGGGTGGCCCCGCCCCCAGCGTGCCCGGCATGGTCGCGTCACTTCCAGGTGATGTGCACGTTGGGGTGGCCCCACCCCCAGCGTGCCCGGCATGATCGCGTCACTTCTGGGTGACGTGCACGTTGGGTTGAGGCTCCCCCCGGGGCCCAATCTGCCAGTGGCGGGGAAGGGGCCTCTGGGGCGGGGTTTTCCCTGCCCCCTGGGGGGACTTGGCAAGCCTAGCCCACACTGGCCTGCTGCGACCACCCCCACTACAGTTCCCCTCCCTCGCCAAAAGCCCTTCGCCTTGATCTGCTGCTGGGGGGAGTCATTGCCCCCCTGCTGGGCCTGGGCAGGTTGGGTGAGTGAGCGAGGGGGGGGGGTTCTGAGGGGCTCTGCTTCTGTATCCATCCAGTGGCCGATCAGAAGCCTTGCTGGGCCAAAGCCCCACCTGCCCCCACCCATTTTCTAAAAACATTTGGCAGGCACCAGGGGAGGTATCGGTGGGTATCATGGAAACCACGAGCACCAAGTTGGGAAAACCTTTGCTAGATGGACCAACGGTCTTTCTTGAAATACGAGAGCTTCACGTATATTGCATCTGGCAGGGCTTCTTTTGTAGAAAAAGCCCAGCAGGAACTCATTAGCATAGTAGGTCACACCCAACAGCAGAAACCCATTAGCATATTGGGCCACACCCGTGACAGCACCGCTCATTAGCACATTAGGCCACACCCCCATGTTACCAGAAGTGTGGTCATCCAGCCACACCTACCTTTGGCTTCTTATTCTGTTTACCTTGTTTGTTGTCAAAACCCAGGGCCTTTTTTGTAGCAGGAACTCCTTTGCATGTTAGGCCACACACCCCTAATGTAGCCAATCCTAATGAGTTTCTGCTGTTGGGTGTGGCCTGTTATGCTAATGAGGTCCTGCTGGACGAGGCCAACTTGGGAGCCAGCCGGAACTCCGCTCCTGTCCGTTCCTGCCCCAAAATAGCCCTGGATCTGGATCTGTTTTTGTCTATTCTCACACCCACAGTGTCAGTGCTTGTTTCTTCATGGACCTTTACCTGATGAGGGGTTGGTGTAAGGCCACCAGGGAGGCGTGCACCGTCACAGAGATCGCAGACAGGTGGAAGTAGTCGAACATGACAGGGACATGGTGGTGCAGGCCTCTCCGCGGATGGAAGTGGAGCCCCAGAGTGCGGCTGCTGATCACCGGGACTGCCGAGACGTCTTTCAGCCTGGGAAGAAAGAAAGCGGAGGAAGGTCTTCCATCAGTTCAGTCTGCTGCAGCGGTACGGACCTAGAGAGGATGGGGTTTTGATCACTGGGCAGGGTTTCCCTCGGCAGCCAGGAACATTTCCCAGGGTGCTTCACTCTTAATTGTGCTGGTAGGAAGAGTGTCGATATTACGACATGGTTGTAAGAAACCGAAAGCGACTTGTGTTCCCCGATTCACAGATTCATTCCCTCCCCCCCAAAATGTAGCAATTGGCCCTAAACTGATTTCTGTCGTTTTGTAAGAAGCTGTTGATACAGCCTGTTGGGGTGAGCCGTTCTTGAGCAATACAAAAAAATTAAATCAGAAGATTTATTTTTTTGGCTAAACGTTAAGAAGAACTCCCCGGCAGTTTGAGCGGTTCCTCAGTGGAACAGGCTTCCTCGTGAGGTGGTGGGCTCTCCTTCTTTGGAGGTTTTCAAGCAGAGGCTAGATGGCCATCTGACAGCAGTGCTGATTCTGTGAAGTTAGGCATATCATGAGAGGGAGGGCGGGAAGGGTTGCCTCAGTGCTTAGTTCTCCTGGCCCTTTCTGACACGCCCGGGGAAATGCTGATTGCCACTTTGGGGACAGGAAGCAATTTTTCTCCAGGCCAGTTTGGCTGGAGATCATGGAGGGGTTTATTTTGTCATCTTCTGGGCATGGAACAGGGTTCACTGGGGGTATGGGGGGGAGGTATTTGTGAATTTCCTGCCTTGTGCAGGGGGTTGGGTTCCAGTTCTATGATTCTCTGTACCTTTTCTACAAACTGAATGCACACTGAAAAACTAGAAAGGCTGTGGTTCAGTGGAAAAGCCCCTGCTTGGCCTGCAGAAGGTCCCTGGTTCAATCCCCGGCATCTCCACTTAAAAAGGATCAGGGAGCAGGTGATGTGAAAGACCTCCACCTGAGACCCTGGAGAGCTGCCACCAGTCTGGGTGGCAATACTGATCTTGATGGACTGATGGTCTGGTTCGGTATAAGACAGCTTCACGGGTCCATGTGAGTCTGTGCCGACAGACTTACTGTACCTTTTATAGCTTGCATTAGAGATTTGAATGCCCAGTACGAAAATACCACCACCACCCTTCTCTACTCCATAGATAAACCTGTATATGTCAAGCATCTGCTCATAAATATTAAAGAACATAAGGGAAGTCTGATGGGCTGGGCCAATGGGCACATCTCGTCTAGCATCCCGTTTCCCACAGCGGTAATGAAATGCCCTGGAAGGTCCACAACAGGAACACAGAGGCCAAAGACCCCTTGTTATTGTACCCTAGCAACTGGCCCAGCAACTTCTGAACATGAAGGATCACAGCTAAGAGCCACTGATGGACCTAGCCTAGATGAAATTCTCTTAGGATTGCAGGGGGACTCCTGAT